ACTATGAATCCAGAGTTGAGACAGGTTGCCAATGGCTTTGAACATAGGGTCAAGTCATTTTTTGGTTATGATGTGAATGGATACCGATTTCACACAACAAGACCTGACAGCGAGAGCCGGCCCAATCGAAGAACCACGAATTCGGAGTTTTTTCTTGGTGGCCTTGATGGGGCCGAGTATTATGGAAGAATTGAAGAAATATACGAACTTAGGTTTCGTGGTCGCAAACCTCTTAACCTTGTCGTATTCAAATGCCATTGGTTTGATCCTCAAGAAACGAGACGAAGTCCTTCCCTTGGGCTAGTAGAAATTCGACAGGATTCCGTCTATGGCGGAAAGGATGTCTATATTGTGGCTCAACAGGCCACACAAGTTTATTATCTCCCCTACTCGTGCCAAAGGGACCCTCGTCTTCAGGGTTGGGATATTGTGCACAAGGTATCGCCGCACGGTAAAGCACCTTCCCCAAACGCCGAAGACTACAACTTCGACCTAAACACATATGATGGAGAGTTCTATCAAGAAGAGGGCCTACAAGGAACTTTTGAGATTGACTTAACCGGAGCTATGCAAATGGAAGTAGACAATGAAATGGATGTTGATGTGGACGAGGGGGATGAGGTGGAAAATACGAAGGACTTGGCGTTACTTGAAGGATTACATATTGGCAATGGCAATGATGACATAGTTGCTCCTTTGGAAAGTGTTGAACATTTCGACATGGCTGATAGTGATGATGAAAGCTATGATCCAGCTAATCCCGATGGGGATGATGATTTCTAATACATGTAATATTATGTTATTTTTTAATTATGCTTTATTTATTTTGCATCTCTTTATAATAATGTCTTGTTTATGATCCATCTAATCTGATCTTATTGTTTATGTCTTGTAGGTGATTGTGCAAAGATGGCGGGCCGCAGAGCTTTGCGGGCGGTCAGGTCACTTTACGACACGGGGGCAAGACACGGGGCCCTCGGTGAAGCTGGGGTCGGCACCACCTCGGGGAGGAGGAGGAGGCGGCCGGGAGGAGGCCTAGGGCGCCACCGCCTCGGCGGCAGCAAGCAGCACCACCAAAGCCCGAGGAGGCGGGAGGAAGAGAGGTGGACGAGCGGGCTTAGCAGGAGAGGACGAGCTGAGGCCCGCAGGCAGAGGCCAGCAGCACCGGACGCAGCAGGAGGAGCGGGAGGATGAGCAGGAGGCCGAGGCGGGAGGTTCCAGTTCCACTAGAACCTCGGTGTGTCTACTAACGAGGTCCGTGAGCCTACGAGCGGCCGATACACGAGGCTCCCGGTCATTCGACCCGTTGGGCAAAAGTACGTAACTTTTACATTTTTTCGCTCCTACATATGATAGAATCACAATGGAAACTAACAGTTTTTTCTTAATTACTTACGCAGGTCTTGGAAGGTCGTGGTCCTAGGTGCTCACAAAAGGTTGCCCAATGGCATCCTGGGTCTTCTCTGCAGGGAACACTTCCCGGGCTTGGTTCGCGCACGCAACAAAGAAGCTCGAGCCGCCTACACGTCTGAGCACTACGTCGCCGCCACGATGCGGAGGGCGAGACGGCCAGACGCACGTAAAGCGTGGAGCGGGTTATGTGTGAGTTTTGGGTAAGTCTTCCTCCCACTACTTTGCTCAATACATTGCATTCGCTAGAGTTTCTTGAACCGGTGTATTGATACATCTTTTCTATATGCAGGACTTCTTCAAATGCGCCGAGGGCTACGAGGCGAGGGCGGCCAAGGCGTCGGCCAAATCTTTTAGATGTCGCATCTCAGACATGCATTACGAGGCGTGGCTCCAGGCCATCATCGATTACTATGCCGTCTACGAGCATCGGAAGGTAAAGAAAGAAGATGCAAGATTAATGCATCTGACCAAAGAGCAGTACCTGAAGGTAAATATACAACATCAATATTGATTTCTTACGAGATTGGGTAGGCTTGAATTGTTCTTATATCTGTCAATGTACTTGATGTCGTACAGTGCCTGCCTCTCGGCCAGTGCGCCAATAAAAGCGTGGGCACGGCAAATGATGGTCGACGGTGGGTGAGTGGCAATTGGGCGGATAACCACACCGTCCTCCGGAACGACGTTTGTTGATGCAGTGTATCACACCACCCGGGCAACCTTAACATCCACAATTCGGGGCTAGATGGGTACGTGACTTGGTGTAGCTTCATTTATTCTTTCGAGACGTTTATTCCCTGCATGATTTATAATTGTCTTGTTGTTTTTTCTCACGATCGGTACGCACATCAAAACCAGCCATGTGGAGAGCTCAAGTCATGGGTTACGGCCCACAAGGGCAAGGCGATAGACAACATCAATCTGGAACCCGGACGACCCAGCCGAAGTCGTTCACCAACGAGCATCCCCGAGTGCATCATCGGTCGATTACCGAGGCGGCAAGGGAGTCCATGGGGTGACCGGGATCCGCACACCGCGGACATTGACGGCGACATCGTCATGAGGGTGGGAGGAGGCAAGAAGCATGGGCGGTACCTCATCGGCAACAAAGACGCTCGACCGCGCACACCACTCCCACTCTCTCAGTCAAGTCCGCAAGCAAAAGACGAGCGGTAGCGTGCCCATACGCCCAAGGCGGGACACTTGACGCATCATTGTGGCAAAGACTACTGAGTTACTTGCATTTTTTATTGCGTTCATTGGTTTTACATTCCTCGAAATTGCTTGTAACAATGCGGTGAAAAATTATAGGCCCAGTGCATGCGCCGAGGAGCATAAGGCTAGGATGGAGGAAGAGCGACAGAGGGGCGGGAGGCCGGCGGCAGAGGTGGGGGGGCGAGCGGGCGAGGTTTGACACCTTGGCTCAAGATGCGTGGCAAGTCTTGGCGCCACGATGGGTCGTCCAGCGCCACTAGAGCTGTTCGCTCCTCCACCGCCTTTACCCATACCCACCTTACTCATACGTGAGTTCAACTTCTCTAACAAAAGCTCTTTCTTTGTGCATGTCGGCTATCGTGTCGTTGATATGTGATGGGAGGCCTTCGTGCCGTTGATATATATATGTGTTGGCCATCGTGCCGTTGATATGTGGTGGGCGGCCATCGTGCGCCGTTGGTTTTCTTGCGTGTTTTGGAAACCCCACCGTGCGGGGGAGGTGTGCTGCCGAAATTTTGATGTGTCTAGGCTTAGATTACAATTTTATACCTAGTTCGCAAATTTTGACTTGTCTACGCTTAGATTACAATTATATGCCTTAGTATTATTATAATTACTAATTTTTCTTCTCCTTTGTGCGAGAATCAATCGGTGGGTTGAATGATGTGCCCGAGTAAAACCGTCGTCGGGAGGGTCGTGGCACCAACCAGTATCCACAACTTCCGCCAGATCGAAGAAATCACGGGAGGGTCGGGTACTACCAGATCCACACCGTCGTCACTTGCCGCAGCAATTTAAATTGGGCCGTCGGGAGGGTGGGAGCCTTGGGAGTGAGCCTGTTGTTCTTCATCATGTATTAGCACTTTGTGACATGAACTTGTGTGAGATGAACTTAGCACTTTGAGATGGACATGTGTTGTTGGATTTGAGATGTTTAGATGGATTATAATGTGAGACATGTGATGTGGATGACATATTTGTGATATATGTGATATGGATGATGTGTTATATTTGTGAAATATGTGTCGTTGAAGCTGGAAATATATACAAAAATAATAAAAAAAAAACTCTCTGGACTCTTTGCCGAGAGCTAGCTCTCGGCAAATCTTCCTCTTTGCCGAGAGCTTGGTGGTCGGCTCTCGGCAAACCTTTTTTTTTAAAACCACCTCGGCCGCAAATCTTTTTTTTTTATAATTCTTTGCGCAGTCATTAAATTTTGTCGGCAAAGAATTTTTCTTAAACGACAACGCGCTCTCGGCAAAGAAGCTGTCACACCGTTACCCGTCGCCTGGCCGTTCTAGGGCGCGCCAGTTTGCCAAGAGCTAGAGTTTGCCGAGAGCCTTGCCATTACTCTCGGTAAATGTTTTGCCGAGAGGGGCTCTCGGTAAAAAATCCTTTGCCGGTAGATGTTTTGCCGAAGGCTCTTTGCCGAGAGCTGCTCTCGGCAAATAGTTTGCTGAGCGTCAGATCGTCTTTGCCGAGAGCATTGGGCGCTCGGCAAAGGCCGGGAGTCCGGTAGAGCTCGGCGCCTCTGCCCCGCCTGCTGCTCCTCACACACTAGATGAAGGGTAGTTTAGGAGAGCCCACGTGCTTGGATGAAGGAGCAGGGCGAAGATACTATTTTGGGCTCCCTTGGAGGATTTCTGCAGAGAGTGATTTGTGGAAGGAGCGAATCGAAGATGTCGCTTGCTATCCCTTATCGTTTGTGAAGCCATGGAGCTGCTATCAGAGTGGTCCTAGGAGCGCTACAAAGAGGGCCTAGACCAAGCAATCGCTTCAGATCATCAAACAAAATATTAGCAAAAAAACAAGAATAAACACCCTAATAAGCAGGAACATCACAGGAACTCTAAATTGATCAGAAAATAAATTGATCAGAAAATAATTATTTCGATGGCCAAAAATAATTTGATATCAAAATATATTATAACTCTAAAACTGTACTCCTGATCGTAATAAAGTCCAACGGAATTCGCGTGCGTAAACGACACGTGTTCATGAGAAGCAACACGGTGGTTTTTGGACTGCACTATTGTCACGTACGCACGTTCCGATAGTATCGATGATCTCAAAATATCCTAAGCATCTAGTTATATCTCTGTGGCTCCATTCCAAATCCTCGCAGAGGTCTCTACGCAGATGCCAACTAGAAGCATTATCAAGGCCACTTTTACTTTGGCATGCTGGTTAACGCGCCTACGTACGACAAAACAGCAATCGTAACCGGTGACCGAACTACCTTGCTTCCTCACACAAATAACGCGTATGGATGCATGCATCTTTTCCTCTAGCTGCAACCGTTTGCATGCATATGCATGCATGCATGGGACTGTGACCATTTGGCCAATCCAGGAAAGCCCTTTACCTCTCATCTAGCTACAAACCTATACATAATACGAAACAATAAATGAATATACCTATGTTTGAAATATATGTCAAATTTTCAGCGGACTTTCACCACGCCGCTGCCCCTGGAAGGCGGGAAGCCATGAAGGTCCTCTTTCTGGGGAGAGGCTGGCGTCGTGATCCGGGGACGGACGTCGTATAGGCCAAGCGAGGAGTGACAGACGACGAGTAGGCTAAGCGGTCCAAAAGCTTTTGCCTTGTTGTATCCACGACCATATAGTCCTTTGCTTCTGTTGTAGCTGCTAGGCTTTTGCTCTAGCTGATCGACATATCCTGACTGGTCATGCATGCTAGCGTCTTGCCAGTGGACATGGAACAGCCAGAGTTCATCGATGCTTTAAAACAACTCCTTTCGTATTAATGAAATATGGGTACATGTACCCGTTCGTGAAAAATATGTCAAATTTTGAAGAAGGTTTTGCAAATCATGTTTTTAGGTTATTTAACGTTCGTTAGATGGTAAATAAATATAAATTAATTACCTGTTCGGCCTCTGCTTGGATGACTGAACCCAGCATGCTGTGCAGGGATGAGTCTGCTGCAGCTGCCCACTGATCAGATTTGGCCATCTGGTGCTGCAACGTCGTCAAGCCATCGCCGCCGCCTCCAAACTGTGCTGCGTAGTACAAGTCAGACGTCAAGCCGACGCCCATCTGGAGCCCGGCGGCGGCTGCCGCTGCTGCGGCCGCCTCCTCTGCACCTACGTAGGCTGGCTCCGGCATGGCCAGGCACTCCGACAGCGTCGGCAGCTGAGAGGACGAAGGAGGAGCCACCGTGGTGACTGTGGCGGAGCTCCCACCGTTCTGCATTATTCCGGCCGCCGCCTGCTTCCCCAGCATCTGCTGGTACCCTAGGTAACCTCCCTCCTTGTACTTGTAGTCGTCGAGGAAGGAGGGTTCCATGGACGGCAGGGACAGGTTCTCACCATGGCCGTAGGACGACGAGCACGAGAGAGACGACGGGCCGGTGCTCTGCTTGCCGCTGTTGCTGTGGGCGTTGTTGATGTACACCTTGTGCAGCGGGCTCTGCGACTTCCCCTTGCCATGGTTAGCACACTGATAGAGAAGAGAGCTTTACTATCGGTGAAAATTTCTCTAGTCTCGGTTCCTCACCCGGAAGTAAGCATCCGGGACTAAAGGGTCTTTAGTCCTGGGTCAGGAACCGGGACTAAAGGTAGTCCCGGTGGGTAACACCAACCGAAACTAAAGGTTCTTCCAGCTTTAAAAAAAATAATGCCTCCCACCGCTGCGTCCCGTGAGATTCAAACCTAAGACTCCATGTATTGCCTCGCGCGTAGCTTACCACCCCATCTACACAACACATCTAACAATAGATGGGATGCTTCCCTTTTGAATTAACCCATCGGGGGACCTGTTACCAACCGGGACTAAAGGGTCTACTTTTAGTCCCGGTTGGTGTTGGTGTTACCAACCGGGACTAAAGGTTGAGGACTTTTAATCCCGGTTGGTGGCTCCAACCGGGAGTAAAGGTCCACATTTAGTCCCGGTTGGTGTCTTCAACCGGGACTAAAGGTCCTCTGCCACTGTGCCGAGCGCAGTAGCCGTTGGGTAGGGACCTTTAGTCCCGGTTGAAGACACCATCAGACTAAAGGTCTCTCTAGTCCCGGACACAAAAAATACTGGGACTAGAGCTCATTTTAGCATCGGATGAAAGGTCTGTTCTCTACTAGTGGCAAGGCCCGTCGTGACTGGTTGGGCCGTGGCCACTTCCCGATCTAGTCCATGCGCGTAGCCCCCCTGCTGGTGGACGCCTTGTGGGTCAAGAGGTTGGCCGAGAAGGGTGATCGCCTTTGGGGAAGAGTCTCTCCGAGGTGAGGACACCATGTACTCCCTCTTGGGGGATGACACCATGAAGTCCCTCCTCGGTGAAGACATCATGTAGTCCCTCTTTGGGGAAGACACCATGTAGTCTCTCTTGGGAGAGGAGACCACGAAGTACCTCCTAGGGCTTCCGGTTGCCGTGAAGTCCCTCCTAGGAGAGAACATCAGGAAGTCACCCCCCGAGGCGCCCATTTGCTCGGCGAAGAGCGACTCCCACATGGGAATGTCCGGTGACTGGATCTCACTGTCGATGTCTCCGTCGAACCTGAGGGCTTGTAGGCTGGCTAGGGCATCATTGGCATCGATATCGGCCGACGATGGCACAACGATATTTGACTCCGACACCGAGGTGGTGGGCGATGTCGGAGCTGCTTGTTGCTGCTGTAGTTTTGTGCCGGATCTGAGCTTGTGTCGACGCAGTTGAGCATCCCCATGCTTGAACACATGAGCGAGACCAACCAATGATCACCTCTCCCCACCCAAGGAGGGTAAGGATGCATATAACAAGAACACTCTGTAAGTTGGATGGATAGCAATGGAGAACAGCAGTGCTTAGGTTGGCATTGATAAAGCTACAAATTTCTATGAATTTAACCCAGGTTTGTGAGAGAAGGCGAAAGTGCGTGGGAAGAAGCTTGCAGCGTGTTTGGCTCCTCTATAATTCGTCCAGCTTGGTTGCAGGGGTGTTGAGGGAGGGATAAAGGGAGGAAGGCAGCGTGCCATGAATAGACCTTCTTGGAGGCATTGCCTTGGCGTATGCACAACACGTCAAAATAGAGTTTTGGTCGGTTGCTGAGGTAATGTTTCTACCAATTCTCTTTGTACTGTACTACTGTTGGTTATTGTCTATTGGTCGAAGGCACCTGCCAACAAAACGATAAAGCAGGTCTCACAAGAAACCAGATGTTCCAAGGTAGAAGGGACAAGGGACTCACTTGGGAGGAAACCCTGCTAGGGCATCATCGGTAAAATATGAGGAGAGACAACACACTTCCTATATACTAGCCACGGCTGCCCGTGCTTCGCTGCGGGTAAAGTGTTTGGTATAGGTAGCTCATATGTCTAATATGTTTTCTCATCGCGTTGGTATGAAATGTTGGCCTATTTGGTACATTAAACGGGTAAATATGGGAAGGAAAGGTAACATGGTTTTTTTCATTACAATGTTGTAAACGAACATAGAGGTTGGTTGTCATTACATGGTGCCTATTGTAGGCCAGCAAATCAATAACATATTAGTGGAAAGAAGTATTTGATGAAGTTGGGCTCAAGCAACTAACACACTTAGATTCGAAGCATAACATTGGCTAGGATTACATTATATGTGGAAAGAGCAAGAACTACAACACAAGTATGTCTCCTAACGCGAGGGTTTACAAAAGAGTGAATTATGATCCACTCCCTTAGGTGAAACTACAACACATTTCATAAATCTGGAATCACACGAAAGATTACACGGCATCGAACACTAAATTACACCAGGATTTAAAATTACATGGTTAAGAGCAACCTAGTACAACCAAGGCTTACTCTAGAAGTCGAGATAGACGAGGGCAATGGAGAAACAACAAGATAGTGATTATCCAAAACATGGCGTATGACCAACAGATCCAGAAATAGGAGACTGAGAAGTCAAACATCATGAACCATAAGACCAAACTAACCAACGATAGACTTGAACTTCTTCGAAAACCAGATCCCTTCTTCTCAGATTACACCATCACCTCTGTCAGATGAACCTAGTTCCACAATGACGACTGGATCTCGTAGTTCTACTTCGGATTCGAGAGGGACGAGGATGAAGAAGAAGAGCAAGGACCAAGGGCATCTTATAGTGGCGAACAGAGATGGGGCGCAGTGCACCGGAAGTGGAGACGACATGGATGGGATACACTGTTGGTTCACGCTGTGGGGATATAGCCGGCCATGGCGTGCTTCCTGTGCAAGCGAGCGGAGGGGGGGAATAAAGGAGAGGAGAGAGGGTTTGCTCAACGAGAGAGGCGTGCGGGCGGCCTTGTCCCCAAAGGAAGAAAGAAGGGAGGGGGGGTCCGGTATGGGGACGAGGTCGAGTATCAAGAGCGTACCGGAGGTCGGGAAAAGTAGAAGCGCACAGTGCACGAGGACGGCAAGTGCGTCATGATGTCATGGCCATGCGAGGACAGGGTGCTAATGGGCCCAACACCGACGGCGTCCGCGGGGCACGCAGTGACAGCGACCCAACATGCGTAGTGTGGTCGAGCTGGGCACAATGCTTGGGACTTGACATCCACTCAGGCTTTTCTAAGCACTCCCTACTATCCAAGGCTAACTTTTCCCAGGTGTTCTTCTTTCCTTCCCTTCCTTGTCCACAATATGCGCCAACCTTTGTATGAAGTGAGATCGCAACATACATGCTTCCTCTGAAACCACCTCCTCTTATTTACTTTGAGAGAACACTATTTCATCAACCCGTTGTGGATTTCCCGTTCAAACACCCAAACATTTGTATCAAAAGCGGTATGGCGGTGTAACTTGGTAAAGGTACTTGGTCAACAACCTCGATACCAGCGCGTGCCGAGAAGTGTCACCATGTGGAAGCTATTCCACAGGGGCCCTCGGTTTCGTCGCGGTACCATAAGCTATTAACAAGGCAACCACTACCAACTTACACGCAATGAAGACGGTGGGGTCATAGACCACAGAATCAGAGGAGTATTGCAAGGGAAGATTCAAACAACAAGGTTTCCTTTCGCAACAAGGGACAAGGACTTCAAATCCAACAACAGATCTGATTTAAAGAGACTCAAGTGTTTTGCTGGGACATGCACAATTAGTCGATACAATGTCTTATGTTATCCAGTCATGGCTGGTCTGCTCACACCCGAATGGTAATTTCTCTTGTAACCCACTTAACATCGCCCTCGAAAACCCTAAGCACGACTAATGAGACTTAAGGTAGATGGACGCAATAACACAGCGAAATAAAAAATGCATATTCCGAACGTCCTTATGCTGGTACAACATATAGGCAATTACTCTCCCATTCTCGACACATCGTTCACCTTTCCTATGATTGGACTACCTCAATAACTACGGATGAAATACAATGGAAAGATTACAATACCGGTGGACAGCGACGAAAGACACTACTAACTACGGGTACATCATCCAAAGGTAACTAATCTACTTTAGACCACGCATCTTCATTCTCGGGCTCGGCGGATTCTTCTACCGCCCTGGCTATGGATCTACCTCCTCTTTTAGCAATGGTTGAGTGAGAGGAATCAAGGGTTCTACTTCTGACACTTCTGAGGGTGGAGGTGCTGGCGGTACTGCAGCATGGTTCTCCTTCTTTCTGGTGGGTGGACAGGGATCCCCTCCATGATCAAGGGATACTGCCGTTTAGCAGCCAGCGTCCTCCGCTTGGCCCTGGTGACAAGGTAGGCCTCTCCCAACTGATGGGCATGTCGATCTTCAGCCTCCTTCAGAGCTTCCGACATGGCAGTCTCTCGACTCTCAGCGGCTGCCGCACTAGCATGCGCTTCGGCAAGCTGCACCTGGAGCATCCTGGAGAAGATCTCGGCTTCCTTGGCTCACCAAAGGTACTTCCTCAGCTCCGAGGCTTGCCAGTCATACTGCTCATCTAGAGCAAGCACGTACATGGTCAAGTGCACCATGGTAGGACTATCTTCTTGCGCATCCCGCCCTTGCAAAGCCTCCATGCGAGCCCTACATGCCCGTCGATTCTTTTCCAAAGGTGGAAAGAACCTCATGGGGGTACAGGCAACGGGCTCTTCATAGATCTGGCAAAGGTACCGCAAGGCTTTGCGGGCCACAACCTGGTAGGTGTCGATGAAGCAAAACCCGATTGCGGTCACATTCCAGGCTTCAGTGATATCGAGGAACTCTTCACTCTTCCCAATATAAAGGGTAACTTCACACCGCTTAGTGCCATGTGTTTCATACTCACGACCCTCATACTCGAGACGATCTTTGACTCAGAGCTTTTGCAGGATGGCATACAGAATCCTAGGAAAACCCTTAGTGTTCAGGCAGTAACTACTAACCCAGCCTGCTGCCATCGCTGGCGGTGGTTGCAAGGAAGGACTAAGCGAAAAGCTGGCTCAAAAGGAAAAAGCTAGGCGAGCTAAAGTGCACCGAATGGTGGTACCAATGGTTAAGCCAGTCCCTGCTTATAAAGGCATAGTGGCCAGTGGTCCTGGCGTGGTCCACCAAGGTTTCAGCACGAGATCACTATAAATGAATCGACTAAATTTTTCGCACGTTCGGGGCGAGCGATGTTTGAGGCCATTAATGATTAAAACGGCTGCAAGACAAGGTTCTGACAAAGAGGCCAGAAAAGAGTACAGGGAGACGCGGGTCATGGCAGGCGTGAACCACAGGCGATGCCAAGCACAAAGTCACAAGGAACGGGCGCCTCTGCATGCATGGGTGCAGATGCAAGTATGGTAGCTGTATTAATGGCGACCACGTGTCGTCACCAGATGCTAAGCTGAACAACACTTAGAACTGATGAAGATCCCTACTTTTCGTCTTTGTCCTACAAGCATGCGTACTGCTTTTGTTTTCCCTTCCCATTTTAGCTTTAGTCAGTGCTTCCCTGGAGGCTTCCAGTTGTTCAGTATCCATAGCTAACAGACCTAGAGATTCCTGAATTCTATATACATTCAATTTTCATGGGCGCATGCATCTTATGTCTTATCATAGTCGTATCCATCCTGGCTATTAAACATCTATGCTTATTAAACATGTCAATAGTACTTTGGTTTTTTACTTAGCAAATTGTGTTCTTGTATGGGTAAAGGACATTGAAGTGTTAGTATTTTTGTGGGGATGGGTGCTAGTTGGCCTGAAGTCACTGCTGGTTTAAAGGCGTGCATGCATGCATTGCTGCTGCCATTGGCCCACTTTTGACGTATTCTCGTAGAGAAAGGACAGGCCATAAAATTTTACCTTCTCACAAGGAGATAAAAATGGGTACAGCTGGGGCACCGGCCATGCATGCAAAGCAAGCAAGGCCCCAGCAGCATGCACGCACGCGTACTCGCATGCGTGTTGACCACCATGCTAATTAGGCAGCGGCCATGCATGCACACCGTCCGTCTATTAGATGCATGGATGCATGTGTAAGTACAAATGTTCTTACATGGTCGGTGGATTGTTTTTATCTGATGGTAAGGAGGAGAGGCATTAAATGTGTCCACCTGCCCGACTTGTTT